GGATATATATCCACATTCTTGAGCATGTAGGAGTACAAGTGTTCRAGGTATGCTGGAGGTGCACTTGGACAGGGGTGAACAAAACTGGATTGCAGTTAGCGTCGCAGCCCTCACCAGCACATTTAACATGGAAACTTGCACATAGGTTTTCCCTGTTCCTGCAAGGATCCCCTATAAGCAGTACATGCAACCACCGCAGCACGTTCAGACAGAGCAAACCAGCAAAGGCTACGTGCTTGGACCAGGGTTTCAAACTTGTTACCCATGGGCTGAAGAGTCTGTCTAGATTTTAAGCCACCTAGCTGGAACTTCTGTGCTGATGGGCTGCCACATGTTCAGAAACCCCAGAGAGACCTTCCTATAGCTAAAAGTGGAGGGGCTAAAAGCCTTGCTTTCCTTCACRAATGCACCCAGGACTGTGCCCCACAAAACCAGAGGCCAAGCTCTATAGCTTTCCAGCATGATTAAATTCATCCTCACTTTCTCAAGCGGAAGAGATCCTCAGCTCATTGGAAGCTCCAGAGTTTTCCCATTGAGTGCTCTGTCCTAAGCCAGTTGAATAGTAGAGAAGGCCAGAGCAGAAATTAGATTTGGCCCTGACCAAATATCTTTAAGTCACTCCTTAAGATGCATATAGTTGGATTCTGATGTGCCATAAAAGACTAACTTCCAAACATGATGTGCAGCCTGTCAGTGGTAGGTCTTTCAGCCAGTCCACTTACTGATGGCATTTGAAGTTATTGGGAGAGAGATATTTGGGGGAATAAAACATACAATTTTTCTGAGTAGCTACAAAGCTGATAGCTTATTAAAATTAATAAAGCTCACTGGAGCCTCCCAGATTGTTCAGTGACCAGAAGGACTTTCTACTGAAGTGTCATAGAATAATTTCTTTACTTCTTTCAGTGTCAGATTTCAGTATAGTGCCAYGATTATACTGAAATAAAGCAGTTACTTCAGCCCAGTTTAACTGAAAATAGTGATTTCTAATATTTTTAACATAGCTCTTCAAACAAACAAAAAAGTCAGCTATAATTTTTAACAGATACAGTGAGAAACATAACAGCAAATGAGATTAGTTATTGWTGGTAGCTCAAAAATCCACACTTGACACTTGTCAGCTGTGTCGCAGTGTAGGATCATAGACAAAAAAAAAAGAGAAATTCATCCCTGTAAAAACTCTCCAAAGAAAGAAAAGGTTGTTTCCACTTTCAACTCCTTTCTAAAAATCTCTTAACACACCAAGCAGAGTTTAGTTCAAGCTCAGTGTTTTGATTGCAACAGGCAGAAACCAGATTGGCTTTTCCATAGATTACCTGAAGTACATCAGGTAAAAGGCATGCGAGTAAATCATACATCTGACTTGAATTTCCAGTTCAGTAACAGCTGCCAACAACCAGGTCTAGAGCGCAGATGTGCTGATGCATTAAATGGCACAGCAGGTGTATTAACTGGCATGGGACTCTCCATCAAAGACCAGATGAGAGTTGAGTACAACACAGCCAGTGCAGTAGTTTATARGTTAGTAATACCAAGATTTCTTTCAAGCATTGACACTTCAGGCTGTCATGATCCACATGCTAGTTAAGTATAGGAATAAGTATAGGAACATTATACAAAAGAGTTAACATTTCACAGATAGAAATTTCTATTTCTTACCTCCCAAATATTTCAAGTTAATAGACGCTCAGATTTCAGACCAGAACAGTCTCTAAAACCCCATGAAATTACTGGATGCATGCTCTACTTCAGCTAAATCAAGCCAAATCATATCACACTTTTCCATCTAATTAAAATAATTCCATCTAATTAAAAATAGAAAGTGAACACAGCTATTCCAAATCATGAGTTTCTTTTAATCTTCCAGCTGCTTCAGCTGATCAATAGCTATTTATCATTGTCGCTGCTTTTAAAGACACTTTATTTTGTCACTTTCCAACTTGAAATGCACTCTTTAAAACAAAATTTCACCTAGATGCTGTCTGAACAGACTCAGTCCTTGCACACATTAAGACATCCAAGACAGCTTTACTGAGCTCATTATGGTGACACATTCAGACTGCATCTAAGACAGACTGAATCCCAAGCAAGAAATCAGAACTTGAAATAGTTGCAACTATTCTTCAACAAATAGTTGATTGGAGAACAGCTTCACAAAAAGAAAAACAAAACACTCCCCCAACTAACTACTACAGACTGTTATTACTTATTTTAAAATAGTTAGCTTCCTTTAAGCATTTAGAGTTTTAAGTTTTACCCTTCCCACACCAGGTGGGAATTAAAACATGCTTATCCTAGTGTAGAATAAGCTTTCAGCTTGTAGAAGCCTTAAGAATTGTGACTGGACTACCCTCTTTGATGGGAGATTTGTCACAGAACAGCATAGATCTCCATCTCCATCCCTTGAGAATTTACTAAGATTTATGCATTTACTTACTGTTTCCTCAACTCCAAAGAAGCCTCCTACCCTCATCTAATAAAGGAAGCTATTTAATAGATCATAATGCCAGAAAGGTCCATTATGATAATCCAGCACAATCTTCTGCATATAGCATTCTGCCATGGATTTCATCCAGAGGTTGCAATGCTTGACTGGAGCTAGAACATAATCTCCAAGAGCTTATCTCTAGCATCAAACTCAAGATATAAAACAAAACCCAACAAACACTTGCCAAGTTTCGAATTTACAAGTGCTCCATTAAAACTTCCTAATTATATAAAGAACCAAAGACGACAGTAAAATGAGTTTTGCTGTTTCTTGTGCTGGAAAACATCCAGTTATTTTACCACTAGATCCACCTCAGATTTTGCTCAATATAAAAGACAAAAATTACTTGAAGGCACTGTGGAAAATGATGCAACTATTAATAGAAAAATTATAAATGGAGGAAGAAAGGTTATTGAAAGCTTTCTGTACCACTATAAAATTATCTGTAGTCTTATAACTGCAAGAAACGACTTATAGAAGATTCACTGACTTATGTCACATAAAATATTAGTGACAGACAGTCACAGTAAATCACAGTGTGCCTTTAGATGCACTTTATTTCATTTTCAGACTTTCAAAATCCGCATTCAATTATTGACAGCATTGATCAGGACGACGAGAACAACAAAGGAGGCGACAGAAGCCAACCCTGCTGTGGCCAATCGCCACCCAGTAGCCTCCAATAAAAGCCTTATCATAACTGACCAGTTGGTGCCTTGAATATTTATAAGCACTTCCCTGCACAGTCACTCCCGTTTCCATTGAGCACCAGCTTCCATTCATTCATTGCAATTTTTTCAAGACAGATTTCTCATCAGAAAAAAAAAAAGAAAAAAGTCAGCACTGTGATCTATTAACCTTCCCATTTTACACACACAAACTGCGTGGGAGAAACTAAATGGAGATCATAAACACCTGAAATGCATCTTTCTCTGTACAAAACCTGGAGGCTGGAATAAAATAAGGAGCAGAAGGTGGCACCAAGTCCTCTTTTTGGACTCACCTACAAATATTCCTGTGGGATATGAAGTATTACAACAACTGATAGAGCAAGGCAAGACTTCCCCATACTTTTATGGTCTTGCATGAAAGAGTCTGTAGTTTACAACACAAATGTCCACATTCGACTTTTAAACTTACAGCTACATTTTCAAAATGTACATCCAAAAGGCTCTATCTTTTGCATTTAATTCACAGACAGTTAGTAACACTGACAGCAGACTGAGTGCAGAGAATGTACAAGATAGGGCTTGGAGTTTAGCAAGAGAAGTCACCCTCTTCATTAGGTAAGATGACCAAGCTCAACCTACCAGAGAGGAACAGTGATGCTGAGCAGTTACCTCACCCGTCCACGGGTGATCCAAATTGCTACATTATTGCTTGGGGATGGGATAATGGTACATAATGCAGCTGAGGAGCATAAGTTAAGCAAGCCTTTTTCTGATGAGTGTTTCATTAGTGAGGTTCTCCTAAAGTGTCCCTTTTACCCTCAAAGAAAGCCTGTGCCTTCACTTGTCCCTCGCTACGAGGCTGCACGGTGAAGAGGCCGAGCCACCTGCTCTTACGGACAGTGAAATCGGAGAGGATCCCGGCTTCTTCACAGAGCGCCTGACCCCAACAACGAAACCAGCACGAGCCCTGACGCTCACGGAGCAGCTTCTGCATTGAAAGCTGCTCTGAGGTTTCCAAGGAAAGTTACGGTACTCCTCCATGGGACACCACGTCAGAACTGCTTCCCAACAGAACTGTCAGGACTGAGGTCTTTTCAATTGCTCCGCAGTCTCATAAAGAGATGCCAACACTCCTTTATCTGCTTATTTGCTTAGCTGCTTTAAAAGTCTGCTTTCTAATCAAGTGCCAGGATTAAGCATTTTAATGTTAAGTTACTCTCATTATTGAGGTACCATCCCACATACCTAACTCTGCAAGCCAGGCACAGGCTCCTCATTATTACTTGAGCATAGTACAGTGCAGCCTTGTCCTAAGGTAGAAGGAAGTTTAAGTTGGTTTTGCTCAGGAACTGAATTTCATTACTGCAGTAAAATAAAAAAAAAGTATATCAAGTCATTTCCCCTTTCCAGGCTGTACTTGGGAATCACATTTTTAAGATGAGACTGCAAAATTCTCAGTATATTTTACTATAAATTGGTGGTAAAGTAAGTTTTGCTTGCAAAGAGTACTGACATTTTCTGGAGAACAGCCTGTTACTCTACATTTCATGTCACGGGCACAGAGAAGCATGCACACACGCCAATTATAGTAAAAATGTTCAAAACAGCAGCTGGTAGGAAGTTGGAAGAGACATTTGTTGAGACAACAGGGCTTGGGTTCCCACCGCTCCCGAGCCTTTTACAAACGGGAACACACTAGGACTTGAGAGACAGCACTCCTGCCTGGTAAAGCTGTCACGCACAAACCACTGCCAATGATGTGATTCAGGTGAAACCCAAAACACAAAACTAACACCCATATCCATAGAAATGACTCAGTTTCATGTAAAGCTGGATCTTACCATTAGCATTTTTCCCACAGATGAGATGCTCGTAAGGTTGCAACACCCCCCAAAGTTCGGCATCGTTGTTGATAACCATCTCCAGGACTTCAGCTGAGATCTCCCCTCCTCCACCATCAGGGCTCTGGCTTGCCAAAACCCGGGCTTTAATCTCTTCTACTAGGTTTTCCATGCAGGCAGTTAAGGAGATGGCTGCATATTCATGGATCCTCACCGAGATCCTCGTGTCCACCATCCACCTGAAGAACCTGCCCACRGAGAAGGTGAGGCCGCACCTCGCCGACTTCCCCTTCCTGAGCCCGTCGCCGGCGCTCATGCTGTACAGCGAGAGCGCCTTCACGGTGGCCAGCACGCAGCTCTCCGACAGTGCCCAGCTCTGGATGAGCTTGATGGCGCTCTGCACCTCGAAGCGTGTGCACTTGGCGTGCGCCACGCTGAGCCGCTGAGCCTCGCGCGCCACGCGGATCAGCGCGCGCCGCAGCAGCTGCGAGAGCCGCCTCACCGCGTCCGGCGTGAACGCTCTGCCCTTTCCATCCCCCTTCCCCTTCCTGAGTATCTTCCCGATGTCCTCATCAGTCCAAGGGTACTCCTCTAGATCCGGCAGCTTAGGACACTTGGAAAATATATCTGCGACTTCTGGGTCTTCCGGCAGCACAGTGTTCACGGTGTCCCAGCTGTTGTTCCTACTGTTCATGGAGCCCGAGTAGTACCACCAGTTGCCTCTGTGCTGAGCGGAGGCAAACGCTTGYGAGTTGGACTTGGAGGAGGAGAGGCTGAGGGACCTGCAGGAGTCCCCTGCCCCATAACCGGAGTCCAGCGTTAGATCCTCCAGCGTCTTCAGAGTCGAGCTGTACATCCCAGCCATAGGAGAGACGGCGGCGGCGCCACGCGCGGCGGCAGSGCCCGCCGAGCCCCGGCCGCGGAGCAGCTAGTGCGCGCCCGGGCGCGGCTCGGCCATGCCGCGCTGCCGCCGCTCGCTGCGGGCCGGGCGCTCCGCTCCGTTCTGCGCCGCTCCGCGCCGCCCGGCTCCGCGGGACACTTGCGGCGCCCTCCAGCCAAGTTGTGCGGCGCGGCGGGCAGGGCCGGCGCGCCGCATGCAAATCAGCCGCGGGAGCGGCACCAATGGGCGGCGCCGCCGCCAGCGGCTCCGCCAGTGAGACACGAGCGGGGCGCGGCGTATGCAAATGAAGTACGGGAGTGCCACCAATAGGCGGCGCCGCCAGTGAGAGCTGGGCGGGGCGCGGCGCATGCAAATGCGCCGGGGGCGGGGGGAAGCGGGCGAGGCAGAGCCGCGGGTGGGAGCGGAGCTGCCTGCGCCCCCCGAGGCGCCGCCCCGAGCCCTCCGCTCCGGGCCCGCGCGGCCGGGCGCTCCGGGAGGCGCCGTCCCGGGCCGGCGCGGGCGAGGCCGCCGCTCCCTCTGGCGACGCTCCCTCACAGCGCGGGAAGCGGCGGCGCGGAGCCCCGCTCGGCGAACTGAAAGCTCCCTTTTGGGTTATCCTGCCGCGCTCCTTCCCCAACGTTACCGTTCGCTGCTGGAGGCCGCCCAGAGGAAAGCCGGCTGTCCGGCTGGGCACACGGTACCTCAGAGCCTCCCGCGGCGGCTCTGCCGGAGGCGGCAGCCCTGGCTGCCCTCAGGCAAGGCAGCCCCTTCAGCTCAGTACACCTTCACCCCGTGCTCCAAGCCCACTGCGCTCCGGGTTGGCTCCCAGTCTTTGCCCTGGTGCTCAGGGGTGTGAGCAGCTCCTGTTTATACTAGTACTGCAGCCTGCTAACTACCGAGTCCAACTTCCCACCAGCTAACCCTCCAAATTGCTTTTTCCACATTATATCTTTTACCTTTCCTAGATCTAACCCAACTGTAAAGCAGCACTTTGCTTTTTCATAGCTTCTTCCCATGAAACTATGAACAGTCCACTACAACTAGGCATCATTCTCTTGAAGAGAYTTCAACTCATATTCCAAATCCTGGCAGTTCATTTGCTCTCCACTGCAGCTCAKCTGCAGGTATTACTACATGGTTCTAGTCCTGAGGTGTTATTTCCCCGCCTCGTCTTCAACCTTATTTTTAAGGAGCTCAAGCCCAGTAAAGACAACACAGCTGGCAATACTCATGGTAGTAGGTACCTGAGCACAAGGCAAGTCATTAATGAGTCAGAGTAGAGAGGTGAGATCTCTMACCTAATGCACATCCAGTGCATTCCAGCAGCACACATTTCCTTGATGATCATCTTCCCACTCTCAGCTTTGTGCTTAATTCCATATTTTAGGTACCAYGGACTACAGCAGATTTTACCCCCAYCTTGTGCTAGGCTTCCATAGGCTGTCAAGGCCTATTCGCACCACCACTGCTAGAGGTGTCATGTGCATTTACCACATCATACAGCTGCATCGTGTCGCTCCGCATTTCTCCTCTGCCTCCTCAAGACAGGGAGCTTGCTTAATTCCCTGTCCCTACCTTTGTCATCATACACAGAGGCCTCTTTTCTCCACAGCGAAGGCTGCATGAAAGGGAGGCAGCCAGCGAGACCAATCCGTTATCATCTCTTTCTCACCAAAAAGGCTTTGTTCTTTGTTCCACACTGCCCCGTTGCAGATGCTCTCTCTACAATTCAGCCTGGCTACCTCTTAAGGCTGATTCCTATAAYAAATATTTGCATAAATTGCCACTAAGAACAACTACAGAGCTGACCAGTGGGAACTTGATATTATTCAAGAAAAATGCAGCTATACAAGTACTCGATTTCTTTACAAAAGTAATTTCTACTCTTCCCCTTATCCCACTTCTACAACACTGMTACACAGGTTGCTATTCCAAGTATGTAACAAAAAAATAATCCAACAGCAGTATCTGCTTTCTTTCTCCCCTGCCACTGTTTTTTCCATGTTCACAGCTATGCTGTTTTTCCAGTTTTGAAGTTTCATATGCAATAATAATTTGGCTAATAAATCCTCCTCTGTCTCCACCACAGGAGTATTACCAACCTTTCCCAGGGACAAACAGAGAGGAATTGTGCAGGAAAAAGACAACTTCAGTATTCCTTACTGAATAGGCTTTAAGCTTAACCTTAACCTGAAGCTTTAAGCCTCAAGGKGTCTAAGCACAATAAAAACAATTCTGTTTGCAAGAAGGGAGAAACAAATAAGCAAGAGCCCTCTGCTGGCACTTTTTAATCTCACCTGCGTACTTTTTTGTTAGTACATTTCTTATCAAAAAGTTCATCATACATTCCAGGGTTTCCTGTTCTCTAATGTTGTTTTACTAGCTATATCAAACAAATACAATTAGATGATTTTGTAACAGATTTCCAAGAACAGCTAAAAAAGCCACAGGGAATAGAAGGGAACAACCAGATTTGTTTTCCCTCTATGGAGAGAAGAGCACAGTTCACTTTCAAATCAGAGATATGTATTTGCAATTAATCTGAGGCTATGTTAGGGAAACAACAGGGTATTTCCAAAAAGTACTTTCCATAGCAGCTAAWACAAACTTACCAAGCCAAACAATCAAAATTACAAATCAGAGCTCAAAATGCAGATGAGARCAACTTAATACTCCTTAATTTGTAAAGCATGATAAATATTGAGATAATTTTGCCTATATTTTAACATCAACCCTGAGGTATCACATATCATACATTAGGAGTTAACTTTATACAGATGTACACAGACAGATTTTCTCATGACCTTTTCTCTCTAGAGTTAAGATTATAAACTAAGTACAGGATATCRTAAGACATTCAGTAACACAGGCATAACTGGTAGAGAGCATAGGAGAGGGAAACCAAAATAAACAGATATATGGCAGCACAGAACCACCCTTGTAGAGACCTAGGACGTAAATGCTATTTTAAGTCTGATGTACTACAAGCTTTGGTTTTAAGATTCCAAATCAAAAATGTTAAAAAACACCATAGTTTGCTGAATTAGAGATAGTACCAAGACTAATAGCACCAGAATTAAAAAAAAAAAAACTTATTTTTAATTTTATTTAAAAGAAACATGTAGGTTAATGCAAATGTAAACCCCCATTAATTTAACATATACCAAGGACCCTAAAACTGTTCATGTTAAAAAAAACAATAGATATAAAAATCTCTTACTTCTAACCACAAAGTTCACTGTATTCCTGTAAAACCACATTCACATAAACACAAATGAACAGCATAAATATCCCTTACCAGTATATCCTGTATGAGCTCAGTTTAATCATCTGAAATAAAGCACACTCAAGCTTTGCACCAATAAATAAATAAATAAAGAAAATAAAATAAAAAATCCACACAACTATCTTCAGCACAGAGCTGTTCACACAATACAACCAAATCCTCAAAGAAGAAGTGAGAACCTATGGAGCACCTTAAAARGAACACCTGTAGCAGAGCCCTTTAGGAACCTTATGTACTGCATGTGTGTGGAGGGGAGCTAATTAGCCAAAAGGCACAACAGCTGGTTAGGCCCTTCCATGGAGTATGAGCTGCTGCAACAGTTATTGCTAGAAAATTCCATCTTTAGCTGCTGTCTGTTCCTATTTGAGCCTGTGCTAATGAAGGAGATGCTCAACATGGGTCTGCATTTGAAATTTTCACTAGGTGAYGAGGGGGAAAAATATCTTGCTTGCCCACTGTAAAAAGACGGCATTTTCCTTATGAAACTACCTAAATGTAACTACAGTTTATCTGCAATGTGAAGATAAGAACTACGTTTTTTTAATAAACTGAATCTCTGATATCTATTGTTATCTAATATTTGAAAATCTGTCTATGGTCCCATGCAACAGAAGATGCAGAGAAGGAAGGATGAATCATGGCCAGAGCTGGTAAATCATGTGTAGGCTCTAAATCAAATACAAAAAGATGTTTACTGCACTTAAGGAAATAGATTTTCTGCATTTTTACACGAACACTGATATAGATGTAGTTATCATGTACATTTTAAGTGTTTTCTACAGTGCATCAAATTCCATGTCCAGTGAGAGCCTTCAATTTATTGTCTTACGGGGTTTGAGGGTCCAGTTTAGCAAACTACTAGTCACCACTGAGCTCAGTAACAAGTAAGTAGTGATGGAGGTTCCAGTTTTATCTTCCTAGCTGGACATTTTTTTTTCCCTAATATGCCACAAGAATATGTCAAATTAGCACTGGTTAGCTTTACTATTATTTCTAATGAGAGACAAGGTCTTATTTTTCAAAGTAACTGTGGAGAAATAAGAGGTCGTGTCTATTACAATCAAAACTGATTGGTTAGTGAGGCCATTTTATTGAATTTCCTTGGTGGAACCTACTTCTGACACACATTTTCAGATATGAAAAACATGAGAAAGATTTAGAATTCCCTCCTCCTTTTTGCTTTAAAAAGCTGCCTTTTTGTACTAAATGTAATGAAGAGGTAAGGAACCTGGAATAAAATTTGTGTATAAAAACTTAGGAAAACAGTTTGCTGTGGTGAAATTAGTTTGCTACTAAGACCGTGCAATGTGTGCATTTTGTTGCTTATGTGGGTATGTAGCAACTAGAACCTGAACAGTCACTAGGTATCACCAAAATAGCTGCAAATAACGACGATATTCTTATGTATCTGTCAACTATTAATTTATAATATCCCTCTATAAAGTTAGCCTGGAATAAACTTCCATAGCCACCTACATATCTAGCTCTGATACAACAGCAATCCCGGCAAGATCATTTATGATTAGCTGCTAGTATAAAAGACCTGCTTGGAAGCATTTGCAAGAACTTCAGTTGCTACCTAGTCGTGGTCATGCATCCCCATTCTTCTACAGTATCATGTACCTGTGGGTACCCTCTATGGTCCCATGTGCCATAGTACTCACATTTTTGCATGATATTTATACCAAAATTAGATTTATTCACTGGCTATGATATTAACATAGACCAGTCTTGTGTG